CTAAAAGAATCAGTGGTTCCTCTAAAAGAGTCAGTGGTTCCCCTAAAAGAATCAGTGGTTCCTCTAAAAGAGTCAGTGGTTCCTCTAAAAGAGTCAGTGGTTCCTCTAAAAGAATCAATGTTAACTCAAAGAGTCAATGGTTCCTCTAAAAGAATCAGTGGTTCCTCTAAAAGAGTCAGTGGTTCCTCTAAAAGAATCAGTGGTTCCTCTAAAAGAGTCACTGATTTTTCAAAGGTTTAATGGTTCCTCTCAAAATCTGCTGAGGCATCTCTGATACCTGACCCCAGGTGGAGGTATGTTTGTGGTCTGCTCCCTTTGCTTTCAGTTTGTACACTGACATTTCTCAAACATTTATTTTCAACAAACGAGTGTCTCACAGTTTAGCTCCTGAAAAGGAAAAAAAAAATGCAGAATTTCTTACAAATACATTTTGTAGTTTTTGTTTCTTATGTGGAGAAAATCTTTTGTTGGAAAAGTAAAAGCCAGAAGTAATTCACTCCTCTTCAGGAGGACGGTCTCACAGTGTTTGTGTCTGAAAATGTAGAAGAGAATTTAAAGTGTTGTGTTTTTAATAGTTTTTATTGTTATTGAAGCTTGAAATGGGCTGTAGAAGCAGAGGCAGCTTCCTGTTCTGACATGTTCCTGTGTGGGTTGGGTTTTTCTCTTTCTCTGACTGCAGGACTGCACCATCTTTGAGATGGAGGAGAAGATCCTGGAGGTGGTGAGTACAGCACTTCCTGCTGATCACAAACACTCACTTCCTTTTCCTGCTTCAAAGCTACAGCTTTGTTTGTTCAGGTCAGGAATGTCCACTTCCTGTCCAAGATTACACTTCCTGTAGGATGTTCCCAAAGAACAGGATGTCTTCAGATTTTTCAGAATCATTTGTTTTTAGATAAAAAGTTTTTAAAAAGTAACACAATCTGAGCAACACATGAATCTGTTTTTATTTTGTTTCAGTCACAATATCTGAATGGACTGTGTGACAAGACAGTCCAGGTGACCTCTGACCTCTCCAAACCAGATGTGTCCTGTCGGGAGGAAGTTCACATCACCAACATCAAACCTGGGGAGGGACTGGTGGGTCCAGGTCCAAGAGACCTCCAGGACAGAGAGCACCAGCAGCTCTGTCCTGCAAACAGAATAATAAAAACAATTCAGAACCAGGATCCACAATCCATTTAGACCATTTAGACCTGGGAACACCAGCCAGGTGTGGGTCCCAAACCAGATACCTGAGACAGCAAATCTGCAGGAACCTTCTGAGGGTTCCACGTTTCCTTCAGATCTCTTTTATCTTTCAGGGAATTTACATCAAATCCACCTATGATGGTCTTCATGTCATCACTGGAACCACAGAGAACGTGAGTTGTGCTGATGTTCTGAAGCTGATAATCTGAAGCTGATGTTCTTAAACTGATAATCTGAAGCTGTTAATCTGAAGTTGATGTTCTGAAGCTGATGTTCTGAAGCTGATTTTCTGAAGCTGATAATCTGAAGCTGATAATCTGAAGTTGATAATCTGAAGTTGATAATCTGAAGCTGATGTTCTGAAGCTGATAATCTGAAGCTGATGTTCTGAAGCTGATGTTCTGAAGCTGATAATCTGAAGCTGATAATCTGAAGTTGATAATCTGAAGTTGATAATCTGAAGCTGATGTTCT